AATGTTTTCTGTTTCATCTGTTTTGGTACATTTTGAGATCGATTTGCTTGGGTTGTTTTTGCCATTGACTTAATAATACAGTACTAGAGCTAGTTGTTTTTCGCTTCTTTCCTGGCAGGAAATTTCGCTAAATTGCCTACAGATAGCTTGTTCGTTGGTGTTGGGAATATCTCGGCAAACACTTCAGGGTCGCTGTGCCATCAAACATTTTTACAGCGAATTTTGGATCGCCTTACACTGGATTAAAACCGCCAAACCTTTGAGAGAAACAAAGGTATATGTTAATGCAGATCTTAGTTATTTATGTCTTACAGCACTGGAGGTTATGCCCGTTCTTTATGAGATATCTATGTATTGCTTTCCTTCATCTCCGAAGCATTTCCATCGATAAACAAGTTGTACCATATACATTTCCTTGTGAGGCCTTCATAATCATCCAACCCTGTTTGTGTTTGCTTAGATTTGAAATACTGAAAAGATAGTTTTGCAAGCTGAAATTAGGATCTTTTAAGTAGTACTCAAAATGATGAATATCGTCCTACTGGCCTTTGAATGTATTTTCACTGCTGTGAAAATCGTGACACAAATTCTTCTGCTGTTTCTCTGCAGGGTTTCTCAAAGGAAGCACCAAGTGGGGCTGGCATGGATTTTCTTATAGAACATAAGTGTTGATTATGGGATCCTGTATAGAATTCTTTGCATCGAACCAACAAAATTCCAGATCACGTTATTACACACTGATATCAACGAATTCTCTTTCTTTGATACGTGTTTCGAATTCAGGCAAAGGATCAGAGGAGTCAGTGTCTTTTATGGGCTCAGCGCTGGCTCCCGAACAACTGGCTTCGCCATAATCTTTCATTAGATGAGAAAAAAGATGTTTTTAGAGAACCAATAAAGCTATCGTTGTTTAATCAACTAAACGTTTTCATGTAAATCGATTTTGTACTGTCTCCGTTGACCTCTAACTTTTGAAGAGCTCAACTTCTTTCTCAGTTCGGTCGGCCACTTCCGAATCCTCGTCGTCTACCGACTGTATGGGTCGTTTTTATACTTCCGAATAATTTGCTTCTAGTAAGGCATGAATCTTCCGTACAGCACCAGGAAGAAAAATGACTGCTACAAACAATTTGTGAAATTTGTCCAAGTGAAAATAGCCGATTTCGTCGAGCCGACGAAATCGGCTATTTTCACTTGTACAAATTTCACAAATTGTCGCTTCAAATTTGCGTCATTTGGAAATATTTGCATCGTATGCCCAGTTTTGTTTAAATCAGTACAAAACTGGACGACACAACGCTTTACCATTACGAAAAAATTGAATATATTGAAGCAAACTGTAAGTAAAAAAATCATGACGAGACCGGCGAACAACGGCTGTAGAAAAGACTCCTTCGTGCCTCACGCGATTATAAAACAAGACTTTGCAGGGTCCACCCGTGACGTCACAGGAAAGATGGCGAATGTTTCGAATTTGGAAGACCTTTTACAAAGTGAAAATGGACTTTTGAGGAAAAACGAATGGTACCTTTGGTGTACTTGATATATTTACTAAACATCTATGTGAAAAGAAAATGAACGTTTTTTGGGTTTACATGCCCTTTAAATAACAGTTTGGTTGGGGGCGGTACTCAAGACAGAGTTCGAGTTTTGTCTTATGATTTTACATTGACGAGGGCTTGCAATAGACGCAACCCAGAGCAGGGAAAGATGAGAAAGGTTTCTGGGAGGGACCTTAGTAATGATTGAAATGGTTTTAACAATGCTGCACTATTCTATTACATTAGAAGTTGTGTTTAATGAGAATGGTAGATATGATTGAGATGATAGGGTAAGTCTGGAAAAAAGGCTGGAAAGAAAATGATTTTTCTCTTCCCTACGCTTAATTTAATCGTCTTTGTGATCTTAGCCCACCACACGAAAGCAGTAAAATATATGCACTCAGTTTTGATATGAAGCTATTTTCTGTTCTCTTAAATGAAAGTAATGTTCGTGGAAACAAGCTAGTGGAGTTATCATTGGGGATTTTTGATGCTCTCACCGAGTTAAAGAAGTTGTAAGTTAATTAAAAATAAATCAGCGATATCTAAATTCTTAAATGTGTGTGAAAGCTCAAGATCATCAACGAAGCAAACCAACAATGAACTGAAAACGGGAAACGGAAAACTTGGGAAGGGGAACGAAGAACGGAAAACGTAAAGCGGGGAAAGTGGTGGAAGAAAAATATAGAACAGGGAACGGGGAACTGAGAACGGAGTACGTTAGTGGGGACTTTAATATCCAACCATACCTTTGGAATAGCAGCACTCGGAGTCGTGGATAAATCGCGTTATACGCCAACTAATTTTGAATTAGTTGGCAGATTGAATTTCTCTTTCAAGCTTGCCAAAAGTTTTTAACTTCAAAGACAGCGTCAAACTTTATGTCGCTTAACTAATAGAAACCAAATTATGTTCACAGAGTGTTGTGGGACAACTCAATCAAGTCTTTGCCGCAAAAGATATTTCATCATCTAACAGGATTAGAAGAACTGTAAGCGACGTTTAAATCAGAAGCATATAACTTAGACTACTGGCTTCTTTGCTTCTGGATTAATTTATAGTAAACGCTGATAGATGGCGAAATATGCCATCCATAATGATATTCATAAATTGTTTTCGACGCTCTTGGATATGGACCGTGCACCCTCAGAAGGATCAGGATATATTTTCATAATCGGTACTGTTCTATATTCAGTGCACCACCTTCGTAATAAGAAATTCGGCATTAATAAGAAACAAAAAGTTTACTTAATGTTTAAAGGGAACCTTTTGTTCCGAGTTCCGTTTAGCAAGTGAACACGTTGGTCCCAGATGAGTAATTTAGGAACAAGTGTTCCCATGAACGTATTCCTTTGCCCTGATTTTGGAACATTTGTTATTGAGAACGCGTTCCCTTGTATCTATAAGAGTTCCTTTTTACGTATCCGAGGGACAGTTATTCGTTGTCTTTGTTCCGAATTGGGTTTAGTGGAACACTTGATTCCTTTCTGAGTATATAAGGAACAAGTCTTCCTTATATACTCATACTACACGATCAGGGTCAAAGAGGCAATTCATATAAGACTTCACCCCAACAACATCAACAGGGATAGTGGAATAGAAATTCCAGAAGCGTGGATGCCCACGATCAAAAAACACAACAACAGGAGAGCCGTGCGACAGCGAACCACCGAGGGAGCAAATCACTGAGTGAACAGCAAGGGTCGAAATGCACCAATCAGAGCTGTTAAATAACAACTAATCACAGCAGAGCATCATGCTTTATAAGATCACGCATGAGCATTCGACCTCATCGCCTGAAGAAGACTAGCAGTATGCAATCGAAACGTCGCGATCTACATTACGCGTGACTATATCGTGAGACAAACGAAAAACTTAGCTTTTATTGTTTTTTAAGTGTTTATATAGGTCCAGGCCATAGTCAGTTTAGTGTATACAGGTTTCCTGGGATTTGACCAATGAAATAAAATCTTTACTTCGATCTCATCTGAAATTTTCACATGAATGTTAAAGGAAATATCGCGTATTAAAGGTGGCTCTGCATGAATTTCAGGCAACACACTTTAACCAGCTTTTGCCGCCGACTGTTTTATTGCTTGATTTGAAGGGCGCCCTCTGGGTTTTTTCACACAAGGCCAGTTTTGCTCACGATGAGATGTCCACAAAAAGGATCGTTGCGGTCGAAATATCGTTTGTTGATCTGAGTTTTTCCAGACTCGATAAAGTATTCGTTTGCATGCCGGGCAGACCCATTTGGGATGAATTTCCTCAGAGTCCTGGTCGATACTATTTTGAATTAAACCGAAAGCTCATTTTCGCTTAGGTTTTTGTCAGACCATCTTACTCTACAGTCCTTTATCATAGAGTCGATAGACTTTTCTCGAGAAGGAGATATAATCATCCATGAACTAAAACGAAAACAAAAAGGAACCTTAAGGAATAATGAGAAAATCGACAGCTGGCAGAAGCCATAACACCATGACGGCTCAGGACAACAAGTCACGACAACAACGGCCGTGCGCTTGAACTAAACCAACGTGCACTCGCCTTATATTTTAAAGATGAGAAGTACATAGATCGAGATTTATCGTAATATATTCCTTTTTTTTCCAAAAACAAATCGTGCGTACCTTAAATTTACATGATAGTGATAGCAACCTTCCCAAATAAGTCATCGTAACTCGAATTTAAATTTTGATTCCTCCCACACATTTCACCGACGCCATTCAAACTGCCATTTAAGCAAAGCTCTTTCTGTGCTAAATCAAATGAACTGGGTCCTAAAGGCCATAAACATATCAGAGACAAAAATGCAGGATTAAAATAAGGGGCTGGCTAGCCAAGGTTTTGAAAAATTGGACAGTGCCGCAATGTTACATGATGTCATGGTAAAAACAAAACTGTTTATGACCCGGACTGTCTATTGTTCTGCTTTCTACTTATCAATTGGCTCCCTTTAAAAGATCAGAAAAGTTCTGGAAAGAAGGAGAGAGAAACGTGTGCTTGGCAAATCAGATCGAGTGGTCTAAAATTGATGGCGCATTGCCCCAAACAAAAATTCTTCACTTGGAAACTCAAAACAAGGCACCAAATTGATGCCTTCGATGGATCGCATCCACTGATGTCTCATTAACGGAGAATAAGATAAAGACACCGAAGGACAATGGGGGTTTCATCGATCAGAAATTTTCAAGACCGCCAGCAAGTATGTATTCGACTCGCTTGTCCTTACAGATATAAACACGCATTTTCCTGATTCACTATCTAAACTTTGTGAGACCCTTGTTAACATCCCAGTGCAACTTCGTTCTGGTCACTAAGAATGGAGGCCATCATAGCAAACTGGGTGACGTCATGAGCAAATTAGTTTTCGACGCGATCAGATAATACGTTAACTCGAATCGCTATCGAATCGAAACGAAAATTTGCCCACAAGCTGAGAGCAAGGAATTTCGTCGAATGAGCCAAAACACAGTTCCACCGTCGTCAAAGTTCACTTTGAAAAGTAAAGATAGCGCGAAGTTGCCGGGAGGGCTCACAAGTGTCTACAGAAGCTTCAAGGAGCCAAAGGTTCGGAGCTGGATAAAGAGGAGAACTCGAGGTTCAGCGGCTCATCATTGGGACCGACATTGCTGCCTGAAGCTACAGAATCAAATGGCCCGTCTCCCGAAGTAATTGGCCCACAATAGTTGCCAAAAGGCACCCAATCTTGAAATTAACGGGAAACGAGGACGATTTCTTAAAGCAAGGTAGAGAGATATTCGAATTTGTTCAGTGGACGGCAATCCTGGGAGAGCTAAATTAAAAATTCCGAGAAGGCAGCACAGTAGACTCTCTTAAGAAAAGGGCCGAACTCAAAATGCTTAGGGCTCATCAAAGCAACTAAGAGTGTAATCAAAAGTGGTCTTTGTTTTCTAAATACTTTAGGAGACTCCTATTTAACGTTTCGAGAGAGGTAAAAAGTTTTCTCCCAGAAAATGAAAGAATAGCATGTTTCAAACAGCGGAGAAAATTTAATGAAAGAGACTACAGTTTTGCAGAAATTATTTCCTTAATCCTACTCCTTAAAGAAGGCTTCCACTCTATTTAATGCAAATTCTAATTGCGACTGAAAAAAGTCTGTTAAGGTATTTTGCTCCTTAAGAATTGCTTCATTCTGAACACGGCTCCTCTTTAATGGAATGAGTGAAACTAGTGGAGATAGTGGACAAAGAGGTTCCCAGTCGCTACTCAGGACTTATGTCGGCGTCTTGGGAGTCAGAAACATGAGTCATTCCTCTTCGTCTGTGCTTTGACTACTTCTTGGCAGAGTGACGGAATATTGGCTCGTCGGCTGCCGCATGAATGGCATCGGAGAAAACACGTCGCGGATGAAGTTCGAGCTTCTTGTGCTCCTTCACAGCACCTAGCAGGTTGAGCGTTCCTTGCTGCTTGAGGAAACTGCGTAACTCTTGGCAGTTTATCTCCAGTAGACTTGTCAGCACCTGCCGCTCGTTCTCGTCTAATCATTGCTCCATTCGTTTGTTCTGATCGGCTTTATCATTCTCCATGTTAGTCTAACACGGATTTCAAAAGGCTCCAACACATCATAATAATTGTTATAATTATTGTTTTAGATTTTTTATATACTAGTAGTAGTATAGTAGTAGTAGTGGTAGTTGTCGTAGATACGGACGTTAAAACCCGGTAAACATATTGATACCTGAGGCAATTTCAGTCACTTGGCGGAGAATTCTTTTTTACCTATAGACGATAACAGGAGACGATAAACTCTTTGCTTATCCAGTCCACATAAAGCGGAGCTCTATGGGATTTTGATATACCTCTAAAAAGGCATGTCATACTGAATGCGACTTTGATAATTTGATTTATTCAATTCCCTTCCTGTTTCAGTGACTTGGATGGCAATAGACTGGTTACATTGCAACCAAGAATATTTGACACCCTTGCCAATCTAGAACAGCTGTAAGTACACTTGCATTTGAAAAGAGTCAGATAATTTTTCACACTTAAATCCAAGTTCTTTTGCTGTTTGGAGCAATTTGCCGAGTTATGGGGGCGTAAAATATGAGAGAGAAATACGAAATAGCTACTATTTGCTTGAAGTAACAGGTTATTCATTAATTTGCATTACTTTATCATTTAATGCCAACAGAGTAAACTTTGTCGTAAACATTGCCTCATTTAGTGAGCGAATTTTATCCTAGGAATTGTTACAGCTTGAAGTGGAGGGCATTAGTTGACATTAGTTGGCATCAGTTTTAAACAGCTTCTTAGACCTTAGTGAGCTAGCTTGCCGATTGTCCTGTTGATAATGTGCCATAAAAGTTACCCTACTTAACTTACGTTGTACGTGCAACTGCCAGTAAAGCTGTAATCTGCACACGTTAACAAGTATGAACGCACGCTGTACGTAGATATCAGTCAGGGTTCTTTCCGAGCGATTTATGGCTGATTTTGTAACATTTGGAGACCGCCAAGCGATGAAGATTTCATTATAGACCTTACGCAGGGAGAGAAGTTTAATTTCTCGGTATATCTTACAACATATTTTGTGGTAATTCTATCAAAAACTTATACTTCCCTCGTATCGACATCATCTTTATCGATTTATAATAGAACTGTGACGAAAAAGCATTGATCTCTCTCCGAAATCGTTTTTAGGACGTCGAGAAAAACCTTCCGCCACATATTTTCTTCTAGCAACTTGCAATGTTCGCTCCGTGGCGATCCCAGAAATCTTTGCGAAAACGCAAGGTTCCGATTACTGACAACTCATCCAATAACTTGTATTAGCGGTGCAAAAAATTGTTTGCGCAATGCTTCACTGTAAGATAGTAGCCATTTTTGCTCACGATGACCAGATCAACGGAACGGATATAACAAATGGAAGGGTTTTAATTGAGTGAAACGTTCCCCTGATAGCAAATATACGTTATGTAACTCAGCAAGGAAAGAAAATAAACAAACAGGAAGTTGAAATATTGTTGATTTCATAAATTTCAATACTCTTATGTCATTTTTATAACTAACTTGCAATTGACATCTTTTATCACAGGTGGTTAAATAGAAATCAGTTAAAAGAACTACCACCAAAGATTTTTGATAAACTGACTCGGCTGCACTTACTGTGAGTAGCACTCTCTGGATTCCTAATAATATAGATATTAAGACTGGGTAAAATCCGGACATGGCCAATCCTATTTTTTTTTTTCATTAAATTGCGATATTTGTTCAATTCTATCAGACACATTCATATAAAACTATTCCTCCGTTCCATCATTCGCCTGTTTAACTTCGGACCTTGCTCGCTTCGCAAGTTTAGCGGCCCTTTGGAACATGGGTCGCTGATTAAAACGGTAAAATGCTCTCTCTTCCAAACTCTCCGGGTTTCTTTAGGCACAAAATAATTTGCTTCAAAGGCTTTCTTCTCTACTCAAAATAAGCTGGACCCAATATCTATAGTGCGAATGTCGATCTACGAAGATACTCAATAAGTGATATCGGGTCAAAATCGGGTGAAGATCGGCATTTTTTATTACTTACGATCAGTCACTCACTCACTTACTAACTCACTTAGATAAAATATCTGGATTTGCCTCCTGTAATCTCCATGAGCTTATGAATTTTACACGCATCCGTTTCCATCTCAATTATTTTAAACGGAAGAAAAACAAAGTCGTTTGAGTTCAGTGATAATTAATGTTAAAATAAGTATCTGCAATCAGATAAACACGGGCTCTTTTATGAGTGGCTTCCGCCTGAGATGAAAATTAATGGGAGGTTAGAGAATGAATAACCTCTTTCTGGTTTTGTGTATATGTTGGCTGGAAATGTCCTTGGCTGAGAGATTGTCCTCAAAATTTTAAGTTTATCCTCGAAGCTTCGCTTCTCGGCCGAATATTCAGTTTTCGGTCAATTTCTCAGAAGTGGACTTTATCAGCCGACATACCAGCCAGCTTAAGGGGTTTATTTACAAACTAATGTAAAAAGTAAATTGTGGAGGTATTAGACTCGAGGCCACTGGTTTTGGTTATGGCAAGTCGTGTTTTATCAATGCGTTGTACTCCCACAAAGCCCATCCAGTATACTGGTTGGGCTTTGTGGGAGTTGATGCGGTGGGGAGACTCTTCTCGGCCAAGGCTTTCTCAAAAGAAAGATACAAAGTTATTACATCATTTCTCAGTATCAGGGTCACCATGCTGATCAGTCTAAATGAGCGACAAAGCTAACGGTTGGAAGCGAGGCAACTTCTAGTAGGCTCTTCATTCTCGTAAATAAATCTGACCACAACTTATTGAAATAGATCATACTTGTTTATAGTTACTCATTCTTCGATGGTTTTTATCCTGTAGAACCCGTGGGCATGGATTGCTATTTATTACTCTGAAAGGATAGTTTACGAGATCGATCACAGAGGGGGGCAATTTTTTTTTCAACTGTGTCTTCAAAAGCATGTTTCTTGTTCACCTCACTTTGAACGCAACCATTTAAAGCATAGTAATCAGCATTTAAGAAACCAATTACCGAAGCAAAGCGTTCGTCTTTTCGTCTCTTGTCTCTAAAAAAATTAGGTGTAGGGTAAAGTTCAACGTTTTTAATTTTTTCGGCGGTTGAAAACTCAATTTAGTAGTAGACTGTTTGTTCAATCAGTTTACTGGCTGAATAACCTACACAGGATGTTGCGAGAACAAGTATTTTGCATTTTTTTCGTTTTGTTTATTTTCTTCGGTTTTGTTATCGGGAGCCAAAGACGGTTGACCCATATAATTATCGAGTTGGCAGATCAGAGTTCACGTAATACCTTGGTTATTTTCTCACCAGCTATATATAACATGGACAGTGCAATGAAATAAATTAAGTATATGGTTAGTACAAAAAATGTATTTCCCGTTTATTCCCTTTTAGAAAATAATCACCATGAACGTTCTTACGTCTACATTTAATTACCTTGTATGAGCTGTGTATAAATCAGGTAGAAACACGATCGTGAGATCGACAAAACCAACGTGCTATACGGAAAGAAAGTATTGTACCATTAGAAAACAGTGGGTGAGCAGATCATAGGGAAGGATAAAACATGTAAACTGCTTTCCAATGGAAGGAAACATTATCCTGTTATAGCAAAATATGCTTTGTGCAAATTTGCAATTTTCGATGATGATTTAGCTTGGTATTCGCTGACCTTGCATTGTTTCCGAGCTAAACTACTAGATTATTTTTTGCGCAACAATAAAGAAAAAAGTTAGAGTTGCTATGAGCCAGAAACCTCAGAAAATAAATTGTGGAGGGAGGAGACATCGATAATGAGTATCTGGTTTTGGCAACTGCGGTTTAAGAAATGATCGCAATCATCGGTTCATCCCTTATCGGGATTATCACAAACCAATATGATGACCACCTTCCAGTTAGCTTGGTTACCAATAATTGTAAACCTGTTGATAAACATTTTATCATGATGCAACATAGGGACGGTAAAATCAACGAATATTTAAGCGTGACCTTGTGGTCTTATCGTTATTATGGCTAATGTTTGGCACGTTGGACCTGGGATAGAAGGGTGCGGGTTTGAGTTCTGGCAGAGACTCTCTTTTCTATTCTGCCTGGGAGCTGGATGCAAATTTCTTTATTTTAAAGATCATTGACATGATCGGATGGAAATTGAAGAGTCTAGGGTGAAAGCTGAGCTCAGCCAAGTAAGGGATAGTTACGTCTGAGTCACAACTATATACTCTAGCCCTGATCAAACATGTTTTGTCCAATATCATGTTAGTTGAGCATGTACAACCACATATACTTGAAATG